CCTGCATGTGTACCCTGGAACTTAAAATGAAGTTAAATTTAAAAAATTACTATCTATCATTTTTCAGCATGAGCAAATGATAGCACAAATTTATACAGGTCACTTATTTGAATATCACTCATTAATCTAATTAACACCCACTCCTTCTTGGTCAGGTAGATAAAATATGCATTGTTATTTTAGCAGGAAATGGAAGCCCAAAGAAGAACAATATAGTGATGAAACTCACCACTTGACTGAGAAGTGGAGCTATTTATTTATTTAACAAAAGTTTATTGAGGTACTATTGTGTGGGAGATAATAGAAGGGATACAGAGAATAAAAGATAATTATTTTCTTTAAGAGGGAGGCGACAAATAAATGTTCACTATATGCCAAGGGCTATGCTAGGTATGTCCCATGCTTTTAATTCTTACACCCACCCTGCAAGGCAGAACTCTCACAATTTCTCAGATAAGGAAGGTCAGGGAATTTGTATAATCTGTCTGTGGAGACAAAAGTAGTTAAGTGGAGAAGCTGGAATTTGAGCTCAGATGTCACTGGGTTCTGAGTTCAACTTTCTTCCATCATGTTGCTGCTTTTTATTGCAAGGAGCTCATCTTATACCTATAAAAACAGAATTAACAAATCAAGACCACCATTTATTTCCTTAGACCCACATGTTAATCAAATTAAGTGTCATTCCCTAAGCATTCTACATTCTCTTGTCTCATTATCTTTGCTCATGTCTTTTCCCAAGCTTAAAACGCCCTCCAATCACCACCATTTATTACAGTGCTGCCCATTTATTAAGACTCAGTTTAAAACCTATCTCACGAGGCTGAAACCTTCTCTCATTTTTCCAGCAGGAATGATTTCTCCCTCCTTAAAACTTGTATTTATCATGCAAGATAATTTGCTTAGTTGTTTTTGCATGTCTTATTGTGTCTTTGTAGTAGGTAATCTCAAGGACATCCCCCAGTGATCCCCATCTTCTATTTTCACACCTAGTATACTTACTGCAATCCTCTCTCCTTGAATGTGGGCTGGATTTATTGATCTAGTCTAAAGAACAGTATATGACAGAGGTTTTGGGATGTCACTTCTGACATTAGCTAACAAAAATGTTGTGGCTCCCGTATTGAGCACTCACTTTCACTTTCTTTTGGATTTTTTGCCCTGGAGAAAGGAAGTTGTCACATAGAGAGGTTCACGTGGCAAGGGATCATGGTGAGTGAGTGAGGAAGTAGATTCCCCCTAATTGAGCTTTCAGATGAGACTTCAGCCTTTTGATAGCTTGAATGCTACCTCATGAGAGACCTTGATACAGAGGCAGTCAGCTAACATGTAGCCAGATCCTGACCTACAGAAATTGTACAATTATAATAAATATTTGTTGTATTATATGACTACATTTTGGGGCAACTTATTATGAATCAACAGGTAGTCAATATAGTACTACTAGACAGCAAATGTCTTATAAGTTGGAGTCTCTTTCTTCTTTGTCTTTATCTGCATAATCAAGCAGGGCATTTTGGATTAGTGGCACGAAGAAATACCCTCCCTCATGTTTATGATACTGGTGAGAAAAATTTGTAATAAAAAAAGATCTTATTAGAATTGACAACATCTCTCCTAGATAGCAAAGAAAGAGCTAGTCTCAATTACTACGGTGGCTCAGGGAAGAGCCAAAAACATCTAGTCCTGAAATACCAAGATTCTTGTTGCATAAAGGACAGCACCTCAAGACATGTTGATAGAAGAAATGTCTTTTCTTCACAAACAATTAGATTTGATTATCCTCAGGGAAAAATTCTTGGTTATCTTGGCATGTGTTTGTTTATTAGGTAAAGTAATGAGAAAACCAGTTAAAGTTCTCACTGAGAGGGTGGAGGAAACAGAATTGTGGAAATATCTTTGCTTTTGCTCTTGGCACCAGATTTCACCTTTTCCCTTTTCCCTCCTTTTCTGTGTTTGCAACTGAGCATCTCAATTAACACCTCAATAAAGCCTGGGGACTTTAGTGTTGAAGCCTCACGAGAAGCTACCAAGAATTCTCCTTTTTCCAGGGGGGTAGTGCAGTTTCCCAAGTGTGTTAGTTCATTTTGTGCTGCTATAACAGAATACCACAGACTGGATAATTTATAAACATTAAAATAGAAATTTATTTCTTACAGTTCTGGAGGATGACAGGTACATGATCCAGGTGCCAGCATATTTGGTGTCTGGTGAGGGCTTGGTTTCCACTTTCAAGATGGTGCCTTGAATGCTGCATCCTCTGGAGAAAAGGAATGATTTTCCTCACCTGGCAGAGGAACAGAAGAGAGCCAACCCACTCTTAGAAGCCCTCCTTATAGTGACATTAAATCCATGCATTAGGATGGAGTCCTCATAACTTAAACACCACTTATTAGACGGCACCCAACTCTGTTCCATTGGGGATTAAGTTTCAACATGAGTTTTGGAGGGAACAAACATTCAAACCATGGCACCATGGGAGGGAGTAAGATCACCAACCTAGCTTGATGAAGGGAGGGAATGCTTGAGATGAAAAAGTAGCTAAGAGATGGTAAATATCCCTGTAAGTCAGGGACTACAAGCCCTCTTCCTCAGGGCACAAAGCAAAGGTGAATCTGAAGGAAAGTTACAACCACTGTTTCTTCTGGACCATCCCTCTTTTGAGAGTTACTTGGCCATTACACAAAGATTCTTCATATCTCCATTGAATCAGATAAACCTGGGCAGGTTAGGATAAAGGTACTCAGGAAGGTGTGACCACTATAATGCTTCCCCAGCATCTTGCAGGAGTCTTCAGGAGTAAGGTGGAAGACAGACTGTATCTTTGCTCCTTTTATTCTTCAATCCCCAACTCTGGGAATTATTAGAAGAAGTCTTTTAGATTAGTGCTCAAATTCCTTATTTCATTGTAGACTTGTGGGTAACAGTTTCTGAACAGACTCCTTGCTGTCAGCACAGGAAGGACCTATGAGCTGACAGTGGCTCCAAACATTCCAAGGCACAAGGAACACTGTAATTAAATCCCCCAATTTCTCTCTTTAGGTCAGTTGTCCCAAACCAGAGGCATTAGCACTTTTGGAATGTGCACCTCTAGAATGAGTATGCGGCAAGAATGACTTAAAAAATTAATTTCTTTATAGGGTTTTGACTTAAGGTCTAAGTGTATCAGGGCATATCAAGAAGAGGTAAGAAAATTTATCTTTAAAAATTAACCTTAAAACTGCATTGATGAAAACCCTTATTTTATTTTGCCTTGTGAGTTTATTACCACTGCTGTAGCTCAAGTGCTCATGTAGGGTAAAGAAATGTTCTGTTTTTTTCCAATATGTTCTCATTTGTTTCCTGCCAATGTTTTTCACTATTATGAACATATTTGTTGTGTGTATGTGTTTTAATTAAATCTGGCTTTGTCAGGCTAACAAGTTTCTCATTATTGGCAAATACAGAAATACTAATGTAATGTGCTATTTATTGACCATGGAAAGGTAAAGGATTAGATGTTTTGTGCTGGCTTGTGGGGGGACCTCAATTCATAACCTTCTGCCCCTTATGAAAATTATCTTAAAATTATCTTAAAATTAATTTTAAGATATTTTAAATATTATCTTAATTATTGTTGAATATTATTTTAAAATTAATCACAGAAGAAAATTCAAAAAAAAAAGTTTAAAAAAGAGAGTGAGAAAAAGAAAAAATGCTACTCAACACATGTATTTAACCTAAATAAACACAGATTGAAGGAACAATCCAAAAGAATTATCTTCATTATTCTACAGCCAACAGTAAAGGCTTATATCCCATTATGGTAATGAGCAAACCTTTGAACTTTGCATTGTTCACTGCCAGGCATCAGCACTTAAGGCTTAGGCAAACAATGTTGTACAATTGCTTTAGGGAGTTGCTAGGATAATACCTCGGCTTGTATTTCTGAGCAGGCTTGATCCTTGCTTCCTAGTCTGCATTTCTCAAAGCAGAGGCTGGAAAGGCATAACATCAAGACTCTCTCTGTGCTGTAGTAATTCCCCTTGTTGGTAAGCAGTGGATGGACATGGAGGCAGGTGATTTGTCCTGTCAAGTCTTGATAGTGCTATTAACTCTAAGTCTCTGCAAACCTTTTTGAGCTCATATTGAGAATATCCTAATACTGTGATGGAGTCTTAACTAAAACATGCAACTTATCTAAACGTTTGAAAGGACCAACTGGGAAAAGTGTACCACAGGGGAAACCACAGTACTTTGGAGTTAGATGGGCCTGGGTTTGAAACTTACCTAGAACAAATTATTCAACTTTCTGTTTTCTCCACTGCAATATGGGTGACATAATAGTATCATGCCCCATATGTCTGTGTCTGATGAAGAGCAAAATGCTCAGTAAGTAGAAATTTCTAAGGAGTTTCTATAAGATTGTTCCAATGACTAATTGAATATGTTTAGTTTTAAGGCTGAACTTCCTAGAAAATTTAATTGAAAATCTGATTGGATATATGTGGGGGTGTAGTTTTAATGAAAAAAAAAATCAGCCAAAACCAATATTTGCCTTGATGGGTTGTAATGCTCTCTGCAAATACTTGATTTATTGCTTGGATTTATTATTTATTAAATTACGACATTAGCTACATCTTTAATCTTAGAAATCCTTAGTTGGATTGAGAGGAGCAATGTGTTTCTCTGATTTTCTAATCATCTAATAATGGAAGAATTTGGGTACATAAATAAGATTTCATCAAAGCTATTATTTATTTATTGAATCCTGGGAGTTTTAAAAACATAATTTAGGTATATCATAGGGGCTAAGATAGATTCTATTCCACTCCAGTGGTATGTCCTGTTTTTCCTGGAAATTCAGCCAGATTTTGCCTCCCAGCATCCCTTTGCAGTTAGTTGAGGCCATGTGACTGAATTCTAGCCAATGGATTGTGAATGAAAATGTTATGCTCCACCGTCCTGCTTGCCTGGCTCATTGAAACTTCTATGTGCTTCTCCATGCTCCCTTTTCCTTCTAGATGGCCTGAGTGTCCATGACTTCAGGTGCATCTTGAAAGCTACATATAGAAGATGGAAAAGCCTCTGTCATCTCCATAAATGTAATCTCCAAATAACTACTTAGACAAAGGACAGCTTACTACCTCCTTCATTGCCCAGTACTATTAGGTGAGTAAGAAATAAACCTCTTTATATTAGGCAAAATATGTATTTTGGGGCTTTTCTTGTTCCAACAGTTAGCTTGACCTAACTATTATGTGTATTCTATTACCATAGACTAGGGAGTGCCTTTAAATTTTATCTGTTCAAACATTCTGCCTTTGTCAGTAACAGGATGTCTACTGGGTTTCATGAAGAAATTGAGATTGAGGAAAGGCAGAAAGAGGCTTCAAAGAATAGTTAATATATTTCATAGCCACATTTTCTCAGCTGATACTACTTCATAATGTTAAAACTTCTCAAGTTCTTTGAGATTGTTTCCCTTTGTGCCTGGTACGGAACTGTCCATATTACTCATGTGAGTGAAAATTACCATTGAGTTTGCTTCTGCCTGTTGTTTGGGATGATATAAAGAACAGTTACTAAGATCAAAGTAGAATTTCTGGCTGAGGGAAAAAAGTGATTTCGAGAAAGGGAGAGAGAGCAAGTGGGAGTTCACTAGGTATTGATTGTGTGCTAAGATGGTGACAGCTGAGTGAAAGCCCAAATGTTAAAAAAGTGCTTTCATGATACTGAATGCTGGGTGCATTGTCAAGGGAGAAGGGCGAAGCCTTGGCACAGATAATATATGTGACTTTGGCAAATCACTAAAATTCTCTGGGCTGGGTTTTCTAATCATAAAGGGGATCTGACCAGATAATTTCTAAGATGCCTTACCTCTAAATATTTGACCCCAAGCCATATGAGTAAAAATTTAATGTGCTGATAGTCATATATTAGCGCTGTAGTATAATAAACAGGCGAATCCCCTGTCTTCTCCCTCTTCCTCCACAAATACTCCATGGCTCATTAATATATAGGCATAATATAATTTTTCAGGGCTTGGTGGTGATGCTCAGTGACATCTTCTGCAGATCCACATGGGCAGGGCATCTGGGGCAGCTACATTCAATTTTAAATAAAACAAAGCAAAGTAGCAGCTGTTTGGCATTAGAGGGAATTTTAAGCCTGTATTCCAATTCCACCAAGGGAAGGAGTAAACAAAAGTGAATAACATTTTAAGCCAGTGAGTCTGAAATATTTAATGCCATCTGCAGTCTCTCAATAAGTGGTCATCACCTGCAATGTACTCTCATTTTCCTTTAAAAGCAGAATTAACAATAATTTACGATAGGATAAAAGATGCATTGGCATTCAAAATACTAAATTCTTAGTTCATCTTCAGTGCTCTTGCCGTAATTATGAGTTATTCGTTTAAGTCTGTTTTCCATTATAGCTAAAAACATCAAACAGGAAATTCAAATTCTACATGGTAGGATCAAAAGTGGATCTTGTTTTTCTTAGCAACATGGTTGAACTTCATAGTGAAGTTTGAACCTGACAGCATTCATGTTCAAATGTCCAAGCACTGCATTTCTGATACTGTGGAAGCACAGGCACGCTGTGTGATATTGTGCAGCATTTGATCCTGCCTGACTTCTGTGTCTCAGGCTATCACCAAAGATATTTATAGTTGCCTTATGCCAATGTACTTGTTAAAGCTAGGTAATACTAATGTAAGATGGTCACATTTATCTTGAATGCTGCGGCAGGGTACCATGTGTGCTCCCTGCACTACTGTCTCCTTGTTCCTTTTGTTTTTTCCTAACTCATTCATTCATTTTTGAACAAATATTTCTTAAGAGGCAGCCATATGCTAGATATTTTAATAAGTATTGGAGATACACGGGCAAATAGGATAGACCTATTCCCTCTCTTTACCAGGCAAAGAGGGTAGAGAGGGCATTTGAAGAGGTGAGGGCAGCTCCAGTAAGTAAATTTATGCTGAATGTATTCAGTAAATATATGTGTGATCCCTTGAGGGGCTTTGGTGTCTGTGTCTTGTAGGAGTTTGAGAAAAAGTCAGTAGGTTCAGGACATGAGCCTGGGGGGACCGGCAGCAGTCTGATCCCAGATGCTCTGATGTGCCGTTTTGGGGAGTTTAGACTATTTCTGGTAGATAAGCGTCATTGAGGGTTAAACAAGAAAGTCAGATGATCTTTTTACGTTTTATAAGACTCATTGGTAGGGAAATTGGATTTGAGGGAACGGACAAGAGAGCAGGATTTCATAAGAAGCTTTCTCTCTTCTGTGGAAGCAGTCACAGCTCTACACACGCTTCTCTCTGATGGAAAGACTGCCTGTGAGCCTCTTCTAATTTGTGCTGGGTGGTATCCACCCATATTTCAATGCCCATCCTAAGTACCACTCCCTTGGTGGACCTTCACTCTCAGAATTTGCCTCTTCATTTGAAAAAAAATTTTTTTTTTAATCCCTCACCCACCTCCTGCCCCTTTTCCCGGAGTCCCCAGACTACATTATATCATCATTCTGTCTTTTTTTTTTTTTGAGACAGAGTCTCTCTCTGTCAGCCAGGCAGGAGTGCAGTGGCATGATCTCCGCTCACAGCAACTTTTGCCACCCAGGCTCAAGCAATTCTCTTGCCTCAGCCTCCCAAGTAGCTGGGATTACAGGCATGTGCCACCATGCCCAGCTAATTTCTTTTTGTATTTTTAGTAGAGACGGAGTTTCACCATGTTGGCCAGGCCAGTCTCGAACTCCTGACCTCAGGTGATCCACCTGCCTTGGCCCCCACCAAAGTGCTGGGTTTACAGGCGTGAGCCACCACGCCTGGCCCATTATGTGATTCTTACACCTTTGCTTCCTCATCGCTTATCTCTCACTTACATGTGAGAACATATGATATTTGGTCTTCCATTCCTGAGTTAATTCACTTAGAATGATGGTCTCCAGGGCGACAGAGCAAGACTTCGTCTCCAAAAAAAAAAAAAAGAAAAAAGAATGATGATCTCCAATTCCATCCAGGTTGCTGCAAATTGCAATATTTGATTCCCTTTTATGGCTGAGTAGTATTTCATAGTGTATATGTACCACAGTTTTTAAAATTATACTTTAAGTTCTGGGGTACATGTGCAGAACGTGTGGTTTTGTTACAGAGGTATACATGTACCATGGTAGTTTGCAGCACCCATCAACCCGTCACCCACGTTAGGTATTTCTCTTAATGCTATCCCTCCCGTAGTCCCCCACCCCTCATCAGGCCCTGGTGTGTGATGTTCCCCTCCCTGTCCATGTGTTCTCCTTGTTCAACTTCCACTTATGAGTGAGAACATGAGGTGTTTAGTTTTCTGTTCTTGTGATAGTTTGCTGAGAATGATGGTTTCCAGCTTCATCCATGTCCCTGTAAAGAACATGAACTCATCCTTTTTAATGGCTGCATAGTATTTCACTGTGTATATGTGCCACATTTTCTTTATCCAGTCTATCATTGATGGACTTTTGGATTAGTTCCAAGTCTTTGCTATTGGGAATAGTGCCACAATAAACATACATGTACATGTGTCTTTATAGTAGAATGATTTATAATCCTTTGGGTATATACCCAACAATGGGATTGCTGGGTCAAATGGTATTTCCAGTTCTAGATCTTTGAGGAATTGCTACACTATCTTCCACAATGGTTGAACTAATTTACACTCCCACCAACACTGTGAAAGCGTTGCTGTTTCTCCACATCCTCTCCAGCATCTGTTGTTTCCCGACGTTTTAATGATCGCCATTCTAACTGGTGTGAGATGGTATCTCATTGCAGTTTTGATTTGCATTTCTCTAACGACCATTGATGATGAGCATTTTTTTCATATGTTTGTTGGCCACATAAATGTCTTCTCTGGAGAAGTGTCTGTGTATATCCTTCACCCACTTTTTGATGGGGTCGTTTATTTTTTTCTTGTAAATTTGCTTAAGCTCTTTGTAAATTCTGGATATTAGCCCTTTGTCAGATGGATAGATTGTAAAATTTTCTCCCATTCTGTAGGTTGCCTGTTCATTCTGATGATAGTTGCTTTTGCTGTGCAGAAGCTCTTTAGTTTAATTAGATCCTATGTGTCAATTTTCGCTTTTGTTTACGTTGCTTTTGGTGTTTTAGACACGAAGTCTTTGCACATACCCATGTACTGAATGGTATTTCCCAGGTTTTCTTCTAGAATTTTTATGGCTTTAGGTCTTACGTTTAAGTCTTTAATCCATCTTGAGTTGATATTTGTTAAAGGTGTAAAGAAGAGGTGCAGTTTCAGTTTTCTGCATATGGCTAGCCAGTTTTCCAAACACCATTTATTAAATAAAGAATCTTTTCCCCATTGCTTGTTTGTGTCCGGTTTGTCAAAGATCAGATTGTTGTAGATGTTTGGTGTTATTTCTGAGGCCTCTGTTTGTTTCATTGGTCTATATATCTGTTTTGGTACCAGTATCATGCGTTTTTGTTACTGGGCCTTATAGTATAGTTTGAAGTCAGGTAGCATGATGCCTCCAGCTTTGTTTTTTTTGCTTAGGATTGACTTGGCTATGCAGGCTCGTTTTTGGTTCCATATGAAGTTTAAAGTAGTTCTTTAAATTCTGTGACCAAAGTCAGTGATAGCTTGATGGGGATAGCATTGAATCTATAAATTACTTTGGTCAGTATGGCCATTTTCACGATATTGATTGTTCCTATCCATGAGCATGGAATATTTTTCCATTTGTTTGGGTCCTCTCTTATTTCCTTGAACAGTGGTTTGTAGTTCTCCTTGAAGAGATCCTTCATATCCCTTGTAAATTGCATTTCTAGGTATTTTATTCTCTTAGTAGCAATTGCGAATGGGAGTTCACTCATGATTTTGCTCTCTGTTTGTCTGTTATTGGTGTATAGGAATACTTGTGATTTTTGCATATTGATTTTGTATCCTGAGACTTTGCTGAATTTGCTTATTAGCTTAAGGAGATTTTGGGCTGAGACGATGGGGTTTTCTAAATATACAATCATGTCATCTGCAAACAGGGACAATTTGACTTCCTCTTTGAATAGCCTTTATTTCTTTCTCTTGCCTGATTGCCCTGGCCAGAACTTCCAACACTATGTTGAATAGGAATGGTGAGAGAGGGCAACTTTGTCTTGTGCCAATTTTCAAAGGGAATGCTTCCAGTTTTTGCCCATTCAGTATGACGTTGGCTGTGCATTTGTCATAAATAGCTCTTACTATTTTGAGGTACGTTCCATAGATTCCTAGTTTATTGAGAGTTTTTAGCATGAAGGGGTGTTGAATTTTGTCGAAGGCCTTTTCTGCATCTATTGAGATAGTCATGTGGTTTTTGTTGTTGGTTCTGTTTATGTGATGGATTAAATTTATTGATTTGCATATGTTGAACCAGCTTTGCGTCTCATGTATGAAGCCAACTTGATTGTGGTAGATAAGCTTATTGATGTGCTGCTTGATTCAGTTTGCCAGTATTTTATTGAGGATTTTCGCATTGATGTTCATCAGGGATACTAGCCTGAAATTTTCCTTTTTTGTTGTATCTCTGCCAGGTTTTGGTATCAGGATAATGCTGGTCTCATAAAATGAGTTAGGGAGGATTCCCTCTTTTTCTATTGTTTGAAATAGTTTCAGAAGAAATGGTATCAGCTCCTCTTTGTACCTCTGGTAGAATTCAGCTGTTAATCCATCTGGTCCTGGACTTTTTTTTTGGTTGGTAGGCTATTAATTACTGCCTCAATTTCAGAACTTGTTTTTGGTTTATTCAGGGATTTGACTTCTTCCTGGTTTAGACTTGGGAGGGTGTATGCGCCCAGGTATTTATCCATTTCTTCTAGATTTTCTAGTTTATTTGCATAGAGGTGTTTATAGTATTCTCTGATGGTAGTTTGTATTTCTGTGGGATCAGTGGTGATATCCCCTATATCATTTTTTATTGCTTTTATTTGATTCTTCTCTCTTTTCTTCTGTGTTAGTCTGGCTAGCGGTCTACCTATTTTGTTGATCTTTTCAACAAACTATCTCCTGGATTCATTGATTTTTTGAAGGTGTTTCTTGTCTCTATTGCCTTCAGTTCTGCTCTGATCTTAGTTATTTCTTGTCCTTTGCCAGGCTTTGAATTTGTTTGCGGCATTTAGCCCATTTACATTTAAGGTTAATATAGTTATGTGTGAATTTGATCCTTTCATTATGATGCTAGTTGGTTGTTTTGCCCGTTAGTTGATTCAGTTTCTTGATAGCGTCGATGTTCTTCACAATTTGGTATGTATTTGCAGTGCCTGGTACCAGTTGTTCTTTTCCAATGCTTAGTGCCTCCTTCAGGAGCTCTTGTAAGGCAGGCCTAGTGGTTCCAAAATCTCTCAGCATTTGCTTGTCTGTAAAGGATTTTATTTCTCCTTCGCTTATGAAGCTTAGTTTGGCTGAATATGAAATTCTGGTTTGAAAATTCTTTTCTTTAAGAATGTTGAATATTGGCCCACACTCTCTTCTAGCTTGCAGGGCTTCTGCAGACAGATCTTCTATTAGTCTGATGGAGTAACCCGACCTTTCTCTCTGGCTGCCCTTAACGTTTTTTCCTTCATTTCAACCTTGGTGTATCTGATGATTATGTGTCTTGGGGTTGTTCTTCTCAAGGAGTATCTTTATGGGGTTCTCTGTATTTCCTGAATTTGAATGTTGGCCTATCTTGCTAGGTTGGGGAAGTTCTCCTGGATAATATCCTGAAGAGTGTTTTCCAACTTGGTTCCATTCTCCCCATCACTTTCAGGT